TGTGACCTTGAAATTGACCTTTGACCTACTTTTCACCATGAACTGAACTTTGCAAATTTTGCTTCCCTTTTATCTCCAAAACTGGCAGAGATAGGTCCATAGTTACTATTGAAGTTGGATAGGAAGTCATATACTGGCAATTTACTGTGACCTTGAAATTGACCTTTGACCTACCTTACAATGAACTTAACTTTGATTGCACCATTTTTAGTTATATATATTTTTTGCATATTTTGAAAATTCTTGTTGATTGCATTTTTACAGCTTGTCAAGCACAAGACTGGTGGCTGCACCCCTTATTTTGTGTATGTGGGGGTCTATACGAATGCGCTTGCTCCAGCTGGTGGTACAATATTCGGAGGCGGTATCGCCTCTCTGATCCTCTAGTTTTTTTCTCAGACGTTAATTAACATGATTTACCTTTATGTACTTTTAAAGAGGATGCTTTTCCTCCATTTTCAACAGAACTGTTTTGTTGCCTCTAGCCTGATTAGCCTAATCAGGGGTGAATTAAAATGAATGTGTCTTTTGTCTATTAATTAGTGAAAGGACAGTAAAGTCCATTTGGGAATAGTAAAATTACACTTATAGTCAACAAATATTCAGAACACATTTTCCCTTTCATCGATATTTTTGTATTTATTTACAGAAACACACTGGAAACACTTTGTCTTCCCTTGATTCTTGTTGCCCTCTTGTGGCTAAATGGTTTAGAAGGATGCAGGTGGTACCAGGCATCATGGACACAGCTGAATATCTTGGTCTGAGTATAGAAATTTCACAAGGAGGAGAGATCAGATTAGAGAAACCTTTGGTACAAAACAAAGAACAGAATAATTTAGAACAGCATGTGAGGTAAAATAGTGAAGTCTTAATGTTATTTAAAACAAATTCAGATTGACCCTCTCATTTCAATGTACCATATAAAATCACCCTCAGACTTTATAATAGATAATTTGATTATATAGTGGAATATGGTCTACTGTTAGAGACTTTCTCACGTTTTGTAATATTAAGCAGAAGCCTGCAAATGTAAAATTTTAGAGGAAGTCATAATCAACTTCTTAGTGAAACATGAAACACATTGTTAACAGCTTTACTACATGAAATTATGGAAATATTTATGCATCAGTTCATATTTTGTTGCAGAGAGGCCAGTAAGAAGCCAAAAGTTAAAACAGAAGATGTAAAAGCAGTAATACAAAAATTACAGGTAAAAATCCTTGTTCTTGTATCAGATAACCGTTGAATAGGCCAGGAGTCTTACAGGTTTTCTGTGATGAATAAGGAGTGTTAAAATGTTTTCTTGACTATATTCTATACAATACTGTGCTTTGGAAATTAGTAGTTTGAGTGGTAGATAAACTTGACAATTTTTAGACAATACCATTCATGGTAAGTATACAAATGCAATTGGTAATTATGATTTATTTTAAATTCACTTAACAGTAATTATCTTATATCGCTGACAGAAGGCCACTCATTGCATTTCACTACATATGAGAGTTTTATAAATATTTTGAAATTTTGGTGTGATGTTACTTAATAGGAGGCTGGACTTGAAGCCACCATGAGTGACCACCCATGTGGGTCAGATGTTCACTTGGACTGGGACAGTCTACCAGCAGGAGTCCACCCAAAACAAGGTCAGAAATTGTGAAAGATGAGATCTAGGAAGCATTTCGCTTGTTTAGATTTCTGTAGGTGTTTCATAGGTTGAAAGGCTTAAGAAATGTGTTCAGTTTGGTTGGTAAATGGTTTTTGTTTTGTCCTCAGTTCCAATGAAATGATATGCAGTAGAGTATTGTCCAATGTACACATACAACGTGTTCAATTTGAAGCAATTCAGTTTTTGTGTTTGGTATATACAATTTGATTGTAAGTACAGTAAATTTAAAACAAATAGAAAATAACCAGTGGATTTCCTGAAGTTTTGCAGAACCCTTATTGTGTTACCATAGAAACCAATTTTATCAATATCTCAATGCATGCCTGTCATTTATTCCTATGAACTTGGCAGGGGAGCTACCTAAATCAAGAATTGAGCGCAAATGTCAACAGTTGGAGAATCTTGCAAGTGCTGTTGTCAAAATAGCTAAACCTGGAGACGTTATTGTGGACTTTTGTTCTGGAGGAGTGAGTAAATTAAGTTCCCCTTTCAACAGATGGACATCAATTTGGTTGTAAAAGCAAAGATGACATTGATCAAGGTGGTATAAATGTCATAATAAGGTTTGCCTGGTTAAGTAGCATGATGAACTTTTGTCACAAGGTTACGTGTGCATTTTATTAACAGAAGTTACCGTAGTAAAATGTTCAAACACTCAAAATCCACTGAAAGTCAGGACTTTTGTCTAAAATGAAGTAAAATATTTCTTTTGTAATAGTTACTTTTTAATTTCATAAATTATATTATATGTGCTTTAGTTTCGTTTATCTTTCTTATTGAATTATTATTATATGTGCTTTAGTTTCATTTATCTTTCTTATTGAATTTTTCTTAATGAGATCTTTATTTGATCATTCAAAGTAATAAATATTTTACTAGATAACCTGGATGAAGATCTGGAATCTAGTTTTCACTGTAATGTGGTGTATATGTTTCAGGGCCACCTTGGTATAGCTATAGCATATTTGCTACCAGAATGTAAGGTAAACAATATATTCAAATAAAAGTGTTATCCTTAAGGTGGAGGCACTTCTCTGCATAAATATTTTATACATGCATGGTTATTGCTTTAGCATAAAATATTAGGAGGAAACTCCTTTTCTTTCCACTTTATGGGTACTGGTACATGTACTTTTTGAGTGTGAGTGGGGGTGGTGTGTTCTTTTGTGCATGTGTGCATAATATAAAAGTAAGGTAGTAACATTAAATTGGGGAAATTTTTATGTACAGTTGTATTTTTCTCATTGAATGTAAATCTTTTCATTATTATTTCTGTATAATATAGGTAATACTTGTAGAGAACAAGGAGGAATCCATTGCTAGGGGTCTCAAGAGAGTGCAAGATTTAGGACTTCAAAATATTACCATATACCAAGTAAATATTAAAGCAGCTTGGGTTTACTTTAAATGTTACAAATCAGCAAGTCTGTAATCACATTTATATGTATAATTCTTTGAAATCATTCAAAGGGTGTATTTAAATTGATTCCTACTGAACACATTTATTGAAAAAAATTTAGTAAAAATTATTATGTCTTCAAGAATTCGGTAAATTTATAATCAAATATAAAGATTTCAGGTAAACATAATACCTACTACTTCCACTCCATACAGTGCTGAATTTATTTGTAAATAATATCCTAAAGAGCTCAAAAGAATATCTGGTACTGCCATACATGTGACCTATCAGACATACACCCATATGTAATACTTTATTCTGTTTCTTGTTATGAAACGAATCTGATGGTACATTGTTTTAACTTTTCAGAGTAACCTGGACTACTTTCAAGGCAGTTTCAATATTGGGGTATGCCTCCACGCATGTGGAGTGGCCACAGACCTGGTTTTACAGAAGTGTCTTGATGTAAATGCCGATTTTGTCATATGTCCCTGCTGTTATGGAGCCATAAAAAATACACACACAATGTCTTATCCTAGGAGTGAAGATTTTAGAAGTTTAGATATATCATATGAGGTCAGTTTCACCAATCTTCATTTATTTATTGAATATGTGTGTGTTTTTAGTATTTAACAAGCTATCTCACAGCATTTCTGTATAATTGCAATAAAAGGTCAGTTATTTAAGGCATTAGTTTATGTTAACCTTATATACACCACTATCTTTTCCAGCCACATTTATTAACCTCTCTCTCTCTCTCTCTCTCTCTCTCTGCCATGCTAGGGATGTCATTTTTATGTACAGACACAGATGTTTAAGACCCATGCTAGTCACGTTTTCTGAAAATCCATGATACGTTTATTTTATTATTAAAAATTGATGGTCATTATGCTGTTAAGCCTTATGTAATGTTGCATCAAAATAGAGGGAAACACAATTTTTGGTGCTGCTGCCATGATGACCATTATGGGAAAACCATGTTACTTATGACTGTCAAACTTTCAAAAAAGAATCACAGGACTAAAATGCGGCCTGAGCTGGAAAAGCAGTCTAATTGGCTTCTTTTTCTGGAAGTTATACATTTTAGTGAAATATTCATTATTATCGTTTTGGCATATTTATTGTGGGACTCAGAGCTCCCATGGACATGAAGCTGAATGGTAATCAAGTTTTCTACATTTCCATGCTATTTATAGTCAATTATCAAAAATTGGTGATAATTATTCTGTTATTATGTAATGTTACATCAAAATTGACAAAAATCTTTTTGCACTGCTGCTACAAACGTTATGAAAAGAAAACTGTGTTACTTATAATTATTTTTAACTTACAAGTATGATTTTTAGGATTGGCATGCAGTTCAAATTAGAAAGCCAGCTCAATTGGGTTATCATTTATTATTGAATTTATGAAGTTTTGTGTGAAATTTTCATTTTTCTCATTCTGGCATTTTCAAAGTGTGAACGTGAACTCCCATCGACCTGAAGCCTTATGCTTGTTACACATTTTACTTACATCAGTATTACCTGTTGAGTATAATTAAAATTTGATTTTGAATTTGCAGTTAAGCATAATTAATGTACTTTTGCATCAGAATTGACAGTAGCCTATTTTGTGCATTGTTATTTTCTGCTTTTTGTCTGTACATTTGACAGCTTTGCTGTCTTGTTTTTAAAACAAGTTCACAAGTAATGTTTATATTCCAGGAATACACCCAGCTGTGTCATGCTGCAGACCAGACACAGACTAACACTCCCCTGGCTGCACAAGGTAAGATAAAACACAGGCAGTTAATCCAGAGGTGGGGTGGGGTAGGGGAGAGGAGGAGGGGAAGGAAAGTCAGAGGCCCACAGATTCATAATTTATGCCTTTCAATTATCATGTAGAGGGTGAACAAAAAGGATGAACTTTACTGGTATCCCTGATGATACTCTGGGTCAGCCATTGTTCAGATCAAACCCTTTTCTTGTTTTCTTAGCATGCAAATTAGACAATAGACATTCATTCTTTAATGAAGTTTCTGTTCAATCTTTTGAATCAATTTGCTGTAATTTTTATGTGACGTCAAGATTTTGGTATCTTTGTAGCAAATTGAATATAACTCAAATTCTATGTATAATACCCAATTTATGATTTGTAACATTTTCACTTCACCGCTTACTTCTAATTTCCCCAGATATTTACAGCAGCCTGTAAGTCTTTTGCCCTACATGCTCATCTTACTAAGCTTTAAACTTTGCTTAAGAATAAAACAATCTATATTCCTCCAAACTAAATACTTGTATTTCTAGGGAAGCAGTGTATGGCATGGATAGACGGTGACAGGGGTTCTCTGGCCAAGAGTTGTGGATACAGGGTCACACTTTGCTCTCTCCTGCCACTGGCATGTACACCAAAGAACAACTTGCTTGTGGGGACCTGCAGATAGCATTGAAAACTATTAACTGTCTCTTGGCCACACTTGGTATCTTGGATGGTATTTGTCTTAGCCAAATTGAATGATAAATTTGACAAAATAAAAAACTAAAATGTATTTTAGCATTTGGCTATCATTGACTGTATTAGAGCAGACTCAGAACCTGAACCGAATCGGAATCAGAGTTTATTGTGTCATATTTCCACTGCTTTGCTGTGGCATCCTCACCACATCCTATGATGCATCAAAATGGAGACCTTTGTTACATGTATGCAAAAAAAAAAACAGATTGGATATAAACAAGGACTTTGTTAGAAGGAAGATGGACATGTGTTATAATCATTTTATTATTATACAGCTTTAAGCAGTCAATCTACAATGATTGCAAGTTCTTTAATCCAGTAACTTGTACTCAGTCATAAGAGTTCAATATGTAAATTGATAATGATATAGGAGTAAAGAACATGAACATTATATGCAGTGTTAGCTAGGTTGTTGTTTATTAATTACTCTACACCATCCCATGACACTTTGGCCCATCGTGTATATGTCAAAGGCCCAGACCAAATCTAGTCCTATGCATAAAAAGCCCAGGCCTCGTGTTAATTACGCCCTGGCTGGGCCCATTCTTTATGGTGTCTTTGAATTGTTAACAGCACAATCGGCAAGTTAATTGGCCAAGCTGCCAGTTTGTTTGTATGGCATGTGCAGGGGATGTCTTAGATCGAGGTACATATTATGATACTTACTCGTGTGGCAAATGAGATTTGTAAACTACGTCTGAGGATGATACTTATAAAGATGTTTAATGTTTAAAGAAAAGATCATGTAGATTGATTTAGTAACATATACTAAAGAAATGTTAAATTAAAGGTGGGCTTCATTTGTTAGTGTGTTATTTTAATTATCTAGATTTTATGCAAATTATGGGAAAAAGTTTGCCCTTTAATGTTTTGTTGACCTTTTGGGAAATCCCTGCATTTTCTTAAGGATAAATTACAAAGAAAAGTGTGGATTAATAGCAAATGTTTGCCACGGCTATAAAAAAAACTCCCTAAAGTTATAATATATTTTTATTTACATCATAATCTATGCCAGTTTAGAACACTGATAAAGTCGATTCATAAGGGTACAATTTTAAAAAAACTGAAAACAATTCCAATGNAGTTGCGTTCTGTTTTACCTGCCACCAATCAACAGTTGTGTCCCCAGTTCATTGATCCTGGAAAGGTCAAACATAAGATAGATTCAAGTCGTCAAAAGCAGAAGAAATTTTATGACCATGGTTCCCGACCCCTTCCCCCTATAACTGTAGGTGAGTCAGTCAGATTTCAGCGAAATGACAAGTTATGGAAACCTGCCAATGTCATTGATAAGGTGAATGAAAATTCATTTGTTTTACAAGCTCCTAATGGTGGTATATATCGACGTAACAGGCGTCATATTCTCAAAACAAAAGAGCCCAATGTTCCTCATGACACTGACCCAGAAGTGCCTATTTGCACTGAGAATCTGGTTAATAAATCCAGTGATCTTAAAATTCTAGTAGATCACCCAAAGCCTGCTGTAAATGCCCCAGTTAAGTCCCCAGTTAAAGTCAAATCAACCCCTCAGAAAGATGAATGTCATTCGCCCCAGCCCTATGTAACACGAGCTGGCAGAGTTTGCAAACAAAAAATTATAGAAGCTATGTAATTTTTGCAAAGTGATATATAAGACTTTAGAGGAAATTACCCTTGGACAAAAGGATATGAACTTAAATATATCAAGAATTTTTCAATGACAATATATGTTCACTATTGGATACACATATCTGACAGGCAGGATTAACATGCACATATTGCCAGTGCAGGGATAATCACAAAGACTATGACTGTTAACACCCATGACATTTGATTGAAGAAAGGGAGATGTAACATTATCTTCTTGTTTTTGGTAAATGTCATCAAAGCCCACAAACTTCCATTAGTGGCATTCTTTGAATGACCCTTGGTCACCTACAGATTACACTTGATGACAGTTCTCAGCCATTGTTAAAGTAAACAGGTGTTCCTCATACTTTTTAATGTACATGTATATACAAGCCTATCAGTTCACAATAAACTTTCGTAGAAGTCAGACGCATTGTTGTTGTCTCTCTCCTGAATAGAGTCCGGCACGTTGGACTCAATAAAGAGCCATCATATTACACATGGAGTCCAAAAATTTTAAGTATTACAGATAAACAGTAATGGCTCGATCATTTCAACCGGGAAAATAATTTCTTTTTCAAATACAATTTGGGATTCATATAAATAATTTTGTGTAGCATTTTGGTGCTGAACTACTGTATAGAATACAACCAAAACGTAGTGTGCTTTTCAATATTGTGTCGGTACCACTCAGTGGAAATGTTCTAATATAAGGAAGTGATCGCTTAAATCAAGGAGTTATATTATAACTCCTTGCTTAAATAATACAGTATCTCAGTAGCGGAGTTAGGGGGGGGGGGGGGTAGGTGGTGACCCCACCTGATGTTTCTGAAAAATATATCACACCAATATAATATTCCTCCTCTTAAAATTAGACTTTTGTCTAACTGAACCATAGTTTTAAACCATACCAAAGGCCACCGTTTGCCCTCCAAAACGCCAAAAATTCTTCGGACCCTTGAGCAGGCCCCGAACCTCAGGGGCCGTAGCGATAGTCCGAAGGTTCAATAGTCCGAAGGTTCATTGGTCCGAATGTTCACTATAGAACCTTCGGACCAATGAACCCTTGATTAAAAAATCTATAAAAATGTTACCACTTTTCGGAGCAATGAACCTTCGGACCAATGAACCTTCGGACTATCGAGACGCCCCCAAACCTCACGCCAAGGGGGTGATGGTCGGCTTCGCATCTTGTCGCCCCCCCCCCCCCCCCCCCCCTCCCCCCCC